CATAAAACGAGTATTTCAGGGTCAATACAACAGCACAACAGAACAACAAAAATCACAATATTTCATGGATTTCATTTATATAATCCCAACTCCAAAGCAAGTCAACGAAACTGCATCAAAGCATAATATAGCTACCATTAGACACACATAACAAGAAGAACTAATTATTTTCAGCAAGCTCGATAATCCAATTTAACCAAACATCACATAAATTTTCACAAGATTACAACATAACATAGATACTAATAACCTAGTCATGAAATAATCATCAAAACACCAATATATTCACATAACACATAAATAAACGAAAGGGGGATCGAGCCTCGGTACCGTTCTCGGGATTATCACACGAAACGACTGAGAAATGATTGAAGAAAGGCTGAATCGAGCTATTATGCACGTTCACGGGCTCGACAATGGGGCCTGCTTGGGTACTTATCGCGACAGAACGGCGGCTACGACTTGATGCTGGTGGGGGAGCAGCAATGATGACGGTCGGATATTGAGAGGGAGGGGACGTCGCGACGGTGATGAGGGACGGTGTGCTGGTCACCGGGATTATGAGTTTGAGTTGGAGTGGTGTGGTGTTTGGTTTCTAGTGAGAGGGTGAGAGATGAAGGTGATGATCGAGAGATTTCTCTCTTCTTTTCTTTGCACGGCGACTAGCGAGACAGAGATGGAGAGAAAACGAAAAGTTGTGTGATAAACGTATGAGAGGAGAAGAGGGATTCACAATATACATAATATATATATATATATATATATATATATATATATATATATATGCTACTAGGTTAAAAAAATCTCAACTTGCTAAACAAGTAACACCAATATATGATAGAGAGAGAGAGAGAGTAGTAGGCGGGTCGGGTGGCGCTACCCGGGCGTGGGGTGCGGGTTCGATGCACGGGCTCGAGACTCTTCTCGGTTACAACATAACAAATATTCGAGGCTCGATTCAATCGCGATAAAAATAATTCAACCCGGATAATATATTTATATTTATTTTACACACAATATATTATACAATAATAAGCAAATAAAACATTTAGACAATTTGGCAATTAAATATAAATTAGACAGTTAATATCAGGTGTAATAATAATACTGACAATAATTAATAATCCAAAAAATATACATATAATCCACACAATAATATCACTTTGACAATTAAATTCAAATTAATAATAATAATAATGCCAATATAATAATATCCAAAAATAAATCCAATAATCGAACTGGTTAAATCCGAGCTACGCGATTAAACTGAAATCGCAAACGATGAACGTTTTAAAATAAAGCGATCGAGTACTTAAACCCATAATTTAAGTACCTCATGAGCAATACAATAAATATAATCTCATAAATAAAATTCGATAAATAGAATAATCCAAGAAATTCTATAAATCGAACGGGGTCTTACAAAACACATAGAGCGCATGTACCATATTATTTGAGACATCATAGGATGAGGAGAGGTCGTTGCCGCCAAGATTGCGCCACAAGACAACTTAGTAGATTCTTTTAAAAAAAAGCTTACCAGCTAAGGTCTTTAACAGACACGTAGAGGAGATAGGAGTCAGATGCATTGAGAGTAGTTAGATTGTTCTATGAGAATTTGATTGAAATAATGTATACTTAGCATAGCTTAAATCTTTAAAGTATAAGTGGGAGATTGGTAGGGTATATTGTAGAAGCTCAACTTTGTATTACCAACAATTCTATTATAAACGAGAGTTCTATTTTAGTAAGTACGTGTTTGTAGTTATTATTTATGTGAACATAGTTTCTTTATTTTACATTGTCGATAATATGGTTCGATATGTCAAACATAAAGATCATTTTAGTGGTTCCTTGTAAAATATAGTTTATTGGTTCACAACCTTACAGAATTAAACTAACTCATGTGAAAGGTTGTAGAGTGATTTCGAATTAGTTGATGTTTGACTAATGAATTATACTAGTGCATTTGTAATGTATTGAACGGACCTTAGAGGATAAGAATATTTTATACTTACCAAGTAAATAATATAAACCTCAGTAACTGTAGCATTCTCTTAAACCCATAAGATAGTAAACGAGCATATGTATTCGATTATTATTTAATTTACCATGAATGAGACCACCTCAGATAGTTGACTTTCAATTGCCTAGATCCTGGTTCAAAGGTACAAAATCCTACTTTTCGAATAAGAAAAAGAAGATGAACAGTAAAGGTGGGCAAGCTTACTTGGAGCAGGAGCAAGCCTAAATCAGTAGTCTGAGGTAGTTTTTTATTAGAGAAAAAAAGGGCTATTTTTTCAGAGGTTGTCAGGAGAGCAAAGCAAAAATAAGAAAAAATGCGAACAAAAAAAAAAGTGACACCATAAGAAGTCGAACTTGGGGCCCAAACACAAGAAATGGGCCCCCATAAAGAAGAAAATATCATAATATATTTTATACTCTATTAACAAAGATGTATAATAAAGAAGTGAAACAAAAAAAATCAAATTATATCATATCTTAGATATATAATATTAAAGAGAGAGAGAGAGAGAGAGAGAGAGAGAGAGAGAGAGAGAGAGAGAGATTAGTAGGTACTTTTTTAACAAGACTATTATTGTCTACATAAACCAGATTAGGTAGGTGTTCCTAGTTGTATTGTATTGATGGAAGAAAATAAATATTATATCTTTTTTACTGTAATTTAATTGATCAACTGACGTAAGATCTTAAACATGGGGAAGTAAACCTAGCAATTTATTGGGAGATGAATTATAGTAATTCGAAGGCTAAATTGGAAGTTCAATATTATTTCTTTAGTATGATGATAAAGGTAGACCAAGGCTTATAGTTCTGTTCACACTTGAGAAGTTTATATTTAGCATCTATTTATGGTCCTTGTTATAGCCTATAAATACACGATGACGACATGACGAGGCATGGAACGACCAGCGTACGCAGCACGACCAACACACACAACCCCGCACGACGCACTACCAGTGCATGCAGCAGCCTTGGATGATGCATAGCCACCCCACGTGGCAACCCCAATGGCACGTAGCGCGAGGCACGAAACATCCAGATGATCGATGACCAGCAAGGAACAACGAGATGCGACCAACTTTAAGAAACGCGGACGAGAAGTTTGACAAGAATTCATTCGTCCGGCCACGTAAGTCGTGTAAGTCGTCTTAGAGTCTGCGACTTTTAAACCGTAAATTCTTAATCCTAGCTCCAGATCCGCTGTCATGAACTTTTAGGATTCTGGGTACACATCGATCTACGTTCTTCATAGAACGCAACACATATCGTGTTCACACTATTGTGTCTATCCATATTTAATTGTGTTCACCTACAACTCTCCTTTCTTATTTCGGTGCTTTCCCTCGTATGTCCTCTTGTTGAGGTCCATAGGTTTTCTAAATCATCAACTCGCATGTGATCGAGTTGTCTTCAGTTCTCAGCTCGAACCTCTAAATCTATAAGCAAGTCGACCCGCACCTAATCGAGCTGAGTAGCTCAGTTAACTCTTACCTCTCAAACTTAATTCTTCTGACCTTGAATAATCTTAAACCGACCGATCAACACAGCTCGTTCGCTTACGAGGTGATAATTGGTTCAGCCGACCCGGGCCTATATCAATATGCCATGTCAGAAAAAAAAATAATTGAATATTATCACAGTTGCAAAATTTTGGCGATGTTTGCAAACGTATAACTCCAAATAGGGCGGTATTATTTTCCATCTTTGGAGTTTGTTAGTCTCCACTAGATTAAAGTTGATTTAATGTAAAAGTAATAAAATGATTGAAAATAACGGTTAGTTAAAAGAGTAATGCTATAAAGCCAACTTGAATTACAACTTCGGTTACAACACCATTGTAAATGCATTATTTAATAATTTCTTGATAATACATTTACACTTGAGTTGTAATCCAAGTTGTCACCCAAGTTGGCCAAATAACATTATTCTAGTTAAAATTATGCGAGTTGATGAATAACGAATTAGAGTTGACGTGATTGTAAGAATGATTGATTGATATTATTTAATTATATTTACAATTTTAAGCATAGTTGAGTTAAGTTAAATTTGAGTTTTGATTGAACTTTTCTAATTATGTTTATAAACAATCACATTCTATATATATGTGTTTATTAATTTAAAGTTTATGGATTCAAAAATAAAATAAAAAATTGGGCGGTATTCTTGCAACATTGCTGGCTATGGAGACCTTTTGCCGTCCGTTTATAGAGGCATTAGATCAGCTATCATCTTACTTACTTCCCCATTTTTGTTTTCTAATCTATTTTGGTTCTTACCTTCGCGTCCAACATCATACGAAATCAACAATTTCTAACATCAAGAATTCTGTTTCATTCTCGCATGATTTAACCTCAGGTATGTATGTATATTCTGTCCGCCTTGATCTTATTATGCATAAAAATTGTTAAACGTTGCGGGCGTTCTCTTTCCATTTTGAAGAACTGTTTGCCCTTTTCAAAATGTACGCATCAATAGACGAAAGTCGTCATTGTAAAAAGTGAACAAACCCAAGAAAGTTCCCTTTGATTGCGCTATCAATCTGCCCTTTTCGAGCTGTGACAGCCCAAAAGAAATGATTTTTAGATTTCCTCTCTTGAGATTTTCAACCTTCAAGAATTCTTGACACTGGTTTTGCCCATTGGATAACTTAATTTTGTGTATTTAAGAGAGAGAGAGAGAGAGAGAGAGAGAGAGAGAGATAGAGAGAGAGAGAGAGAGAGAGAGAGAGAGAGAGAGAGAGAGAGAGAGTTGAAATGATGAGAGGTTGAATTGGGGGTGAGGAAGCATAGATTGGGCTATTGGGGTAATTATTTTGTTATTTTTTGCATTGTCAAATTGCTCGAGAGTTGAAATGATGAAGGTTGAATTGGGGGTGAGGGGGTAATTATTTTGTTATTTTTGCATTGTTAAATTGCTTCCAAATTTTCTTTTGGTGTGAAATGGGTGGGAGGATTTGATTTCGTCATTTTGGTCCGATGAAATTAAGGCGCAGGAAATGTATTATACCTTCGTGCGCCTCACACCATAGAGTAAGCGGCTCTATCTCTGTTTTGAACTTTCAGTCTTTTTTTATCTCCACAAATTTGATTTAGTGAAGAAAAGGGTGCTTGAGACAAATGAGGTTGCTTGTGATTGAATTGCAAAGCCCTTTTGCCTACTGGATTTTTCACCCAACAGTTAGTGTACTTGTTTTCTGATGACTGCACTTTGCATTGATGACAGTGAATAAGTAACCGATAGTAGAATGTTCAAGAATGTTTGAGTTGTGAGTCTGAATGATTGTCTACTTCTTCTTCCCATTGATGTTATTCCTGATATTCAAAATGAGTTGTATGGGTGATTTGTGCATTACTAAGAGAACGGAGCATATCATAAGAAATTTGTGGTACCTTCCATGCTTGGGCTTTAATGGAATCTTTTTCCAATTATCACTTGTTAGTATCAAATATTCACATAGTCCTCTCTCTCTCTCTCTCTCTCTCTCTCTAAAATTTTACTAGTATCTAGTTTTCAAAATTCATCTGTGTAAGGAGTTTTTCTTTCATATTACCTGTATTTACACACACACACACACACCCACCTGACTTTTCCTGCATTCATCTCCTCTTTAGGCGTATGCTTTGACTTGTGGTTTGATCGACACACATTTGATTTTCCTCATTCATATGTAATTAAAATTAGTATGTAGCCCGTGCGATGCATGGCAAACTGCTCGTATTAAAGCAATAAAATATTGATTAGTATAAAAACAGTTTTAAATATTATTACTTTTTTTTTTTCTTTTATCTTATGATATATAATAATTAATATATCATTTATATGTTTATTTCACTCGTTATAAAATAGGTGACATTTTAGAGATCATTTTTATAATTAAAGATAATAAAATTTTAATATATTTGAACATTATCAACAAATATTACTCACAGAATTTCTCTCGCTCTCTCTCCTTACTCATATTTATTACATGTTGATTTCTAAATAAGTTTTGCTAATGTTGAAAATTTGTGTCAGATATTATAACCAACATTGACTGTAATATATACTATTTTAAAGTTAAAAAATTATTTTGCGCCAATATTATTTTATTTTTTCTTTTAAATTATAATAATATACAATATAAATATTTTAATTTTCATTTATAACCTATTAATGTATATGAAGTTTTAATGAGATTGTGAATCACAATATGAATTTTTAAAAAACTGGTTCGCTGTAATTATTGATAACATCAAATAATATTTTTGAAATCCTTGAATATATAATTTTTAGTATATGCCTCGTTACCAAATTATCACATGATTTGTGATTGATGTTGAGATATCAATTGTATTGTAGTACTAGGTAATTATATAATAAAATTTTTGCAATTGATTTCAAAATTTATTTTGTACTTATAGTTTACAATGTTCTCACGCATATTTAAATTTATTTTTTAACTAATATTTTGCAATGTTCTCGTGCATATTCCGGTCTACATATGGTCTGTCCAACAAATTAGGAGAACGCACGATTTGTTATTAAAGATAAAGATTGGTTTGTTATTAAACATAAATAGTTGAATTTCTTTTGATATTGTGGAAATTGCGTTTGTAACTTTTGAAAACCTGAAATCGGTTGAGTTATTGATAAATCAGAATTTTAAAATAATCCTCTTGATTCAATGATTTTCTGAATATACGATAAATAATATTTTAGTATATGGTTGGTTACTAAATGAATAAGAAATCATCGCGATTAGTTGATTACTTATTAATGTATTCTATTGTAACATTGTGATAAATATCATAATAAAATTTCGATAATCGATTTTCAAATTTTATTTTATAATTATATTTGCAGTGTTATCGTGCATATTCAAATAATAATTTCTAAAAGATAAACTATTTAATAGATGAAATTTCGAAAACATGTTGTATAGTTGATTACGAAAATAAGAAGAAATTTCAGTGATTTGTAATTAATATGAAGAATAGGTTTTTTATTGAGATAATTATCACAAAATAATTCTCAAAATTAGTATTAAAGTCGTTCTATTAACCGAATTGCACGATTTACAAAAGGTATGGTATAATTTGATTTTCATTTTCTTATTTATAAATACTAAATCAATTTTTACTATATTTCCTTTAATAATAAGTCAACATATTTAATTACAAAGTCAAAAGTACTATTTTAGATTATTCCACCAACCTTTTTCAGTATATATAGATACTACATCAATTGTTGAGTTCCTTATGGCTGAAATAAGATTTTTGTTACTTAAATAAGACCTTTTTTTGCACCTAATGCTGTTTATCTGGCCAGGTTGATGAAAATGAACCTTATTGTTGTGCAAATACGCAAGAAGAAGAATCAGCATGGTCACATAACTCTGCTCACGTAACATCACACCTAGCTCAGTGCTTTCGTGAGTAGAAAACATGTGCTTTCTTTGTTCTCTTGAATTGTCTTTGTTGCATACTTCTCTAGAATTCCCTCTCCTTTGATCTTGCCAAAATAGAATGGCGCCGACACAGAATATAGCAAACTTGTGGCAACTTTGTTTATTCTTCCTGTTGTTACATTGTAATAGTAGAGTGTTTTTTTTTCTCTTTCTCAAATATGTCATAAGATTTTAAAAACAAAATTGCTTCATTATCTTAAGTAAACAATTAAAGCGAAAGGTTTCGTGTTGTTTCTCATTAGTGATAAAATGGTTTGCACCTATATACTCAATGAAATTATATAGTCTATCTAGAATTCTGAAATTTGTGATGTTCTTTTGTTGTTTGTAGCTCATGCTATGGTTGGACCACGAGCATGGATAGGAGGATTCTTTAGCCGCTCGAGCAATAAAAAGTTTGGAAGTGACAAGTATCTTAACTACACCTTGACTCCTATTCAGGTGACTAGGGATGCGTGGCATGCAGCTTATCTTGTCTCGTATTAATGGAGCAAAACTTCTTGCTTCTTTTGTTATTTTCCTTTTTAATATATTTTACCATGATTTTGGTTCATGTTTATAAAGCTTTCTTTTGGCTGGTTGAGGTCTTAAACTTTCTCTTGTTTTTTGTTATCCATGAAGATGAAGATTGAGCAATCAATTTATTATCGCCGTAACAAAATGTGCAAATTCTTTGCAGGAAGAAAGGCTGCAAAGACTTCAAGAACGGTTACGAGTACCTTTTGACGAGTTACGAACTGATCATCAAGTACATTTTTGCTCTATTTTTTTTTTTTTTTTTTGGTTAATAATCAGTTGGATATGAACAAAAATAAAAGAGTAAAAGCAAGTTCTCGAGACTCAGATTTAAGTGAACGATTCAGTATTATCTTATAAATAAGTTCATGCAAATCTTGATGCTCATTATGTAATTTTGTTCTGCCTGTAAGTATGTGAATATCCGGTATGCAAGTGAGACTCTACCACTTCAATAAACACATTCATTTATGAGTTGTTTGACTACATAATGATGCATCTTGATTTACAGGAAGCTCTGAAGGCCTTGTGGGATGCTGCCTTTCCCAATATTAAGCTTAGAGGCTTGATCTCTGAGCAGTGGAAAGATATGGGCTGGCAAGGGGCAAATCCGTCAACCGACTTCAGGTACAGTTGCATATCTTCTATTTAACATCTCCCTATGAGTAGTTCTTCAGTCTATCTCGTTGTAATATGCTCTAAATTTAGGATATGACCATGTATGCTTGTTATGTAGTGAAGACCATTTCGAATAACAAAATTATTGTGTAATTATGCTACCTTGTTGGGTCTTAGGGGCTGTGGATTCCTTTCGCTCGAGAACTTGCTATTTTTCGCGAGAAATTATCCGGTATGGTCGATCAATTACATGCTACATCCAAGAACAAATGATAAATCTTATGATGTTCTGTTAGGAAAGATGTTCTTTTCACTAACAGGAAACATTTGAAGGCTACTTTCCATAGGTTACTTCTAAAACAAGGTGGAGAACGCGCTAAATGGGAATACCCGTTTGCGGTAGCTGGCATTAACATTACTTTTATGCTGATTCAGATGCTCGACTTACACTCAGGTGCAGCTCACTTCAGTGTTGTCTATTGACATGTTAAATAGCGTCTTCCTGGACTTAATTTTAGTTTTTTTGGTACAGAAAAACCAAGATGTCTTCCTGGACTTAATTTTATTAAGTTGTTAGAAGGTAAAACAATGTCAAATTTCAATGCGTTTAATCTTTTCTCGTCTCTTTTACTTGTTTTGGTTCTTTGTTTTTTCACTGACGAGAAATTTCTTTCACACGAGCTACAGAAGATGAAGATGCATTTGATAACCTCTATTGTATAGCTTTTGCAATGGTGGACGCTCAGTGGCTTGCCATGCATGCTTCATATATGGAGTTCAATGTGGTTTTCTACTCTTTCCCTTGATGCTTGTCCATCTGCACATGCATTTAAAAAACATGAAATAGACAAAACTTGTTTTTTTGATAAGTAACAAAGGGTGATTCATAATAGAAACATTTTCAAGTCCTGTTTTATGATTCAAACCATATACACGGACAAAACCGTTGGTTTTTCATGTAAGTTTCATTTTTCTCAGGAGGTGCTACAAGTAACAAGAACACAATTGGAGAGAGAAATGTCTTTAGAAGATATTAACAGGATACACGACCTTCCAGCTTATAACATGTTGCATCAACAGTGATACGCTGCGTCCAAAATATATAGAAGCAGTAGAAATGTAAATTCTCCACGTACTTTCGCGTATGGGGCGAAGTAAAAGTCCCAGAACATACCTACCGGAGCATGTCCAGATGCTATGCTTTGGAGTAATGTGGAATAGTTTCGGAGTATTGTTGCTATGTTTTCTATGTAGAGCATTATCAGTTTTGCTATTTTCAGAAGATTGACTAAGAACATATATTGAAATTTATACACCTTTTTTCTCCCGGAACGATAGGAATCACTTATATTCACAACACAAACGAGACTAGAGGATAACTATCTGATATAGAACGTGAATAAGAACGGAAAGATACGAGATACTCTCTCGTGAAGAACTCACAATATCAGATAAAACTCAAAATCATTCACCGTCTGCTACAATAAAGAGAGGAATAATATATAGTCCTAAACCCCTAAAACTCCTATTTGCTAAACAAGATAACCCTCAATAATTAATATTTTTTTAATCCTAAATAACATAAATAAGGAAATGGAACAACAACAACAACAACAACAACAACAACAACAACAACAACAACAATAATAATAATAATAATAATAATAATAATAATAATAATAAGGAAATAATATAATTAATTAAGCAATGTAAATAATCAAATGAATGTCGGAAGATGATCGTATTTGTCCAAAAAAGCCATCACGAGCTCGTCTCCATCATCATCCCCCTTGTTGAAAAGAATTTGCCCTCGAATTGGGACCGAGCTCGTCTCTGTCGGAACCGTCGTCACGCAAAGGGACCAACTTCGTCACGTGAAAAACACCAGATGAGCACTTATGAGAAGGCAAGCGAAGAGGTAAGTATCCTGCGTGAGTCGTTTGATGATCTCATAGGGGTCGATTCTATCGTTCGGAGGAGAAGTAACCCACACAAAGTCGCCCACGTCAAAGATTACGAAACGACCGAACGTCCTAACCAAGTCTCCACGCGGCCCATCACAAGAAAGAAACAATGCCAGTGATGGTCGTGGCAAAGGAACCGAACG